CATCCTGTATGTCAAGCCAGGCGAAGAGGAAATGCACTGCTGAAGAAGAGTCACCTTCTATCTATTCCATTTATTCTTTATTTTATCAGGAATCCACAGATTCTTGGGGGTGACCCTAGTTCTGGTGGGCTTTCACAGAGTGGGATGATGCAGTGAATGATGAAATGTCATCAAGATGTCCAGCTAGACCTGGAAACACCGCACGGTGATCATGCCAGGCGTGTGGCTGTAGGCGATACAGGTTCCCTGTTCTGTAGCTAGACACAAATATAGGAAAGTTGGCCCAAAATTTGGCTCAGCGCCATTGTTTTCAAAAGTGGTTCAGATTTGGATGTTAATTCATCCAAACCAGCAACTATCTGGAAAATGGTTCCAAATAAAGGGTTTGGCTTCTTCTGAACCCCCGCCAATTTCCGTGCTGCAAGGAACATGCTATCCTTGTTCAGACTGGGGATTTTGGGGCAGGCCTGTGACACGTAAATTCACTTGGGTTCTGATCTCAACGAGTCTTTGGTGCCACCTGTGATTTTGGAGTGAGCACAAAATATCAAGCACTTCACCAAGCAGAGCCGGGCAGGAGAGTGATACATGCCGTAAGGGACCCAACCCCATCTTTGGCACGGAGATGACGCTCTGCGTGTCAATTTGCCCTCTGAATTTTTGTAGGGTTTACCAGTTCACTAACCCCTGCCTCAGATATTCACCTTGCAGCAGCAGCTTGCCCCGCAGTGCTGGCCCTGAAGTAAGGTTCACTCGTTTTACTCAGGAACTGGGAAATAGTATAGACAGAGAGAGTTTTGCCTGGGCTTTCCCTCCAACTTTGGACACATACAGGGAGGGCTGAAATATATCTATGTCTGTTGCTTCCAGCTTGCAGGAACAGTGACTATAACCAGGTCTTCCTTCCACAGGCAGCTTTGCCGGAGGTTTGCGTCAGAATAACTTGCAGAATCAGGCCCTCGGTTTATAAATGTAAGTGGTGACTTCGGGTCAGCACAGTGAATAAGGGTTTTGTTTGGCTGTTTTTCTTTATCATTACGTTGAGCCCCACTCATGCTGTGTCTCCAGTTTGCACTTACTTGTGCTTGTTGCCAGCTGGAAACACCACTAACGAATAACTCTGGATGTTAAAGTCCATTCAAATTCCTACCATGATTATATGCCTTCCGAAGATGCTCATTAGCTTCCCTGCATATCTTTGTCTTTCTCCCAGTCTTTCCAGTTAAGTATTACTGTTTTGAAGAAAGCACTCTCATTGTTGCCTCTTTAATGGCATCTCCAGCGAGAGACAACTCTACATGGTGGAGAGAGAGAGAGAGAGAGAAAAAAAAAAAATCAGAGTCACAAAACCCCAGTCATTAAACCCGGGATCCACTAGAAAGGAACCTCCCTCGCTTTGCATGGCGCAGGGCTGTTGTACAGTGAGCTCAGTTAAGCTGAATTCATAAAGCCTTTGTGGAATTAAAACAGCATGCTCCGTACCAAGATGCCTTCACTTCCTGTGCCTTAATGTTAAATCCTATAGTACTGTGGATCTTATAAATGATTGAGTTATTTTTAAACCACTGGATGTCTTCCAGTCACTCTATTTCACACTGGATTAATTATGTAAGAATACTGACTTGTTCGTCACTAATGTTACAACTTTTAAAAACAACATGCTGTTTAAATTCAAGCTTGGCAACTCTTGCCTGAATCCCCTCAAATTTATGGCACCACACCCATAGCATAATAAAATCTTTAGTGGTCCTTTGTCTTTTAGCTTGCCTTCTATTTTTTCTCAAGGGTGTTTTATGCTGGAAGATGCATACAAAAGTTGTCCAGATGTTATTTGTATCAGAGCAGGGATTTCAGTCCAGCTATCTGTGGTTGCAAATGTTTATTTTAATGGGTTATTGTGCAATCCTTGCTGTGTGGACCTCAGTGGCCTTATATGTATGTTCTCAGCAATGCCAGCACATTGTTTTTAGATATATTATTTTAGTCCAATAGTACTGTTACTGGTCACTGGGGGGAGGAAAAAAATGTAACACCTGTAGGAGCACAGACGGTATTTTCGCCAAGCTCCGCGCGGCTGCTGGGTGCGAAGCGGAGGCGGCGGGGCCGGTGGGTGGGAGCGGGGCATCTTTCCACACTCTGAGACAAAGAGCTCGGCTTGGTCACTGCAGAACGCGCTGGGAGTTTGTTTTACCATAACTCTTGCAACAAACAGAGGAGTGGGTTTATTGAACATATTTGGGAGCCTAATAAAATCTTAGCCGATGTGTCCTTGATACTGGAGTAAGTTGTTTATCTCGTAACTAAAAACATGCTGTGTGTACACCAATTAGGACCACGGATTTCAGCTCACTAAAATAAATTTAAAATGCAAGTTTTGTTATATGCTGTAAGGACTATGAAATATGCTGGAGGAAAATATCTGCGGAGCTCGGAGCCTTCCACCCAGCCTGTAAGCTGAGCCAGGCCTGTGTGATAGCAAAGGTCCATCTACAGGCTCTGCTCTACCTGCGTGCGTTGTGTCATGAGCAAGGATTTTCATGGCGAGGAGTTTAAAGCTAAATCAGTGTGCTCAAAGTGCCCAGTCTTGCATTTTCAAGAAACATGAGCAAGTAAGATGAGGGCGATTAATGCAATGCAATGACACTCATTTGTACATGCAAAGAATCGAGCCCATTTAACCTTTAAGAGAAAGCAGTTATTATATTTTAATGTTGGGTGGTTTTTTTTGTATTAAGAGTCACATATTATTTTAACGTGCTTAATTAATACAGATAAGCTTAAGCCATTATAATGTCATTTAAACCCACATCATTTCCCTTTTGTAGGAATTTGTGTGTAATTTACACTGTTGCGTTCAGCTCTCAACATTCCAAAATCACGCTTAAAATAATTAGATTTAAAAATTACAATTGGAATTGTTCTTTGTGCTTTTTTTTTTTTTTTTTTTTTTTTTTTTAGGGCCTGGTGGTTAAAAGCAAAAGTCAATGTTTTTAAGCATCATATGATTCCCGGAGCCTTGTGCTTTAGTTAGAGGGTACTGATGAAATAGGTACCATCAGCAACGCAGGCTTTGTTTGTATTTCTGCCCAGCCTCGCTTGTTTTCAACGCTGTTCAATTACACAGGGCTTTTTCGCAAGGAAATTAGGCCAAATAACTATCTTACCCTAAAATTGAAGGTATCGTGTCAGTCATGAGTGGCATCAATCCACCTGTGGAGATAGCTTCATCGGGAGCCAGTGACAGCAGGTAACAGAGGGTCTTTTATAAATCTGGGGCTGAGATGGACGTTAAATATTTGTGTTCATAAGGTGATGGAGTTGGAATATGTGATGTGGCCTTTCTGACGAGACCCCACAAACCCTGCACGTGATGCATCTCCTGCAGTTAGTCCCATTGCATCCTCCCTTGTGTCAGTCCCCAGAACAAAAGGGTCAAATATTTAATCCTGGAGCTCCCTCATGCCAGGGAAATCCTGGGTGTAAAGAAGACCAAACCCTTCCCGCAGAGCCCTGGGCAATTCACATCAGTGAGCTCCAGCTCTGAGCCCTGTGTTCCAGCGGTTGCTCCACCTGCGGGTCGTGGTGTTGGAAACCCTGCAGCAACGCCTGGGAGAAAACAAATCCCCATCTTGGGTCTTGGCAGCAGGTTAGGAAATCAATTGCCTCTCATTTATGTTCTGTAAAACGTAAATGTATTTGTAAATTTGAAAGCAGCTGCTGATGCTCAGCAGTAAACCGATTTTGTTTTACAAAACCTTTGCTGTTTGGTCTTAAACTAGCGAAGTTTTGCGTGTATCCAGCACTCCTCTTCACATTTCGGGGAAGATTTTGTCTAGCTGCCTCTGTAACATATGGTAATGCTTAGTGTGTGCTGTATGGCCTGGAGCCATACCACTGCAGCCTGTATGCTCCTCAGATCTCCCAGGCTAAGGGAATCGGGACAAGTCAGTATTTGAATGCGAGGGACCTCCTAGAAAAAGAGTACAGAGTATTGTGCCAGTAGGAGGACAAGATGTTCCTCTCCTCGGGCTGAAGCAATTCTCCACGCGGGGCTAAGGTGTCTGTGTGCTCTCCCGGCGTTAGCCTTTTGGATGACACGGATTATAAAATAGACCACTAATGTACCATAAAAGATCTCGCAGATCTTAGCCATGGGAAAACAGCAAACAATCCCAGTTCTTAAGGTAACCCAGAGGAAGTGGTGGTGTGGGGGAAAGCACCATGAGAGCTTTTCTCATTTTGTTTTTGGGGGGAGGACATTCTCATTGCCACCTTCCTTTACAGGGTGCAGCTAAGCCTGCTGAGAAACTGCCGCTTGTTTTTCACACAGAGTGCTCCCAGCCTCCCTGGAAAGCCGAGACAGGTCCAGCTGCATCCCCAACTCAGCCATGTGGGCACAGAAACCCACCCATGTCTGTGTGTCGGCGTGGGAGAGGAGGGAAGGGCCATGGTTTGCGGTAAGGGGTCTGGCTTTGCAGCCTCTTCTTGGCGATGTTATTAATTCGCTTTGGGACCTTGGGAGACTCATTTAACCTCTCTTTGTCTCAGATTCAAACCTCTACAAGCAGTTATTATAACATTTGGCTGCAGTATGGCATTGTTGAAAGGCTTAATTAAATTAAGCGTTCTGAGATCTTTGAATGAAAGGTGCTATCCAAGTGAAGGCTTGCTGCTGATGATGACTCTAAATTACGAGGCCAAGCCCTTCACAAGTTTTACTCAGTATTTGGTTAGACAAAGTTAAACACCGCATTTGAGGTAGCATTAAAAGTGTTTTGGGAGTGCCATGTGTATAGATGTGACATCTGACCCACCGTGGGAGTGATTTCTCCATGACAGGTTGCAATGGTAGGAACCAACACATATCATTCACATACAGGCAAACGTGCTGGTCACAAACAATTATTTTTATTTTTTTTTTTCAGAAGTTTATTTGAAAGCCTTAATCGGGAAGAATGGCTAGGACTTTTACCTATTTCAGGAGAAACGCTGTCTCAGCTGGGAAATGAGAAGGAACTACTCAACTGTAGTAGCTTGCAGATGTTATGGCCAAAAGATTCATAAACAGCTTTTCTGCCTTCAGACTGGTAAGCACATCACTGGAAGGACATCACGTTAAGTAAGTTGGGGCTTCCTCTAGTTAGTATCTTACCAATAGTAAGGAGGCAAAATTCCAAAGTCCTCTTTTAATTTGTTTTCCTCTGCTACTTATGCAAAAGCTCCTGTGCTTTGGCAGGAGTGCTCTAGCCCTCAAACTTCCCTCCTTTCTTCTGCCAAGCTTTTCTTCACCTGTTTCTTAATCTCAAGTTTCCCTCTTCCAGCATTCCTGACACACTCATCCTCAGCATTTTTTTTTCCTCACGACATCTTTTCTTCTGAATATGAAAGACGTAGTTTTCTTAACTGCTTTTATCACCCAATATTAGTTTACTAGCAACCCCAACAGGTCATTTCCCCCTCTCTCTCTTGCTACCTTGAGCATCCCATCAATCCTTCCTAACCTTTCCCACCACCTTGTTTTCCTTTCTCAGAGTTTCCCTCTATTGCACAAACCCTACCTTATCAAAGTCACCAGGAAAAAAAAAAAAAAAAAAAAAAAAGGAAAGAAAAGAAGACAAAAATGTGTTTCAACTGGAAGCTTCTCTACCCTAACACGCCAGCTGATGAGTGCTGTGAGAACTTGGGAAAACAGACCCTGCCTCCCAAGTTCACTAGCCCTGCAAGCCTGAAGATCAGCATAATAAAGTTGATGGAGTTGTTTAAACAAAGTAAGTAGGGGGAGGAAAAAAAAAAATTAGAGCAGCAGGAACAAGAAAGCATGTTGCTTCTTAATTATGCTGTGTTCTCTCTCTAATGGATTGGCCTCCCCACACGCTCTAAGTAAAGCAACTGGCATGTGGCATCTTCTGCAGATCGAGGAGCAGTGGCAAGTGTACAGCTGTTCGTGCTGACACACAGGTGTTTGATTTTTGGATTCGTTAGCTAGACAGATTTTTAAGGGTGTACGGGGGAATCATCTGCAGTTGTTGCACAGAAAGTGAGTTGTCCAAGAATACCGGAGTTAATTATTATGTAAATCCCACTCCACAGCCAAGACTCAGAGCTGGAATCAGAACTCTGTCTCCCCCCTCTCCCTGCCAGCTCTGGGTCACTGTCTGATTTCCTTGCTCTACCCTTTTCATTTAGTGCCGTGTGTGAGCTGGCAGTGGAGGGACAACCACGACAGCGAAGAGGCAGGAAGGTCAAGTGGCGATGAGAGGCAAAGGCAAGGGCAGCTGGGGCAACGGCAGTCCCTCTCAGCAGGCACGGGATCTTTGGGAAGATAAAGGTGGCCGTGCCGAGCCACCCAAGAGGTGATGCTGAAGATACAGGGATGCTTTTCGAAGTCCTGGTGGAAAGCTTTAAGATCAGCAGTGGGGGAGAAAGTTCAGATGGAGCTTTGGCAGCTTGCTGTGCAGTACTTGCTCCTTCACCTAGAGCTCATGCCAGCACGGTGGCTTTGGGCAGCGTCTGGTTGGGGTAGATCCCATCTGAGTTGAGTGAAAACTGGAAATATCACCATCTCCTACCAAATTCCCTCTATGGACAGACAGTGATTTGACCTTTTTCTTTTGCAAGCCTCTTGATCTAATTGTGCCTCAGTTTCCCCAACTAGCAAGCTATTTGATTTCATCAGATGACAAATATTATAGAGATACAGGGCAGGGTGTTATATTTTCTGTAAGCTACCAATATCTATAAGGCTTTGTATTTTTAAGGATCCATTCAGGGCTAACAAATGAAGCAGGGATGTCAAGAGTGACTCCGGACACCTCAACGTGAAAGGTTTTAATGGGCTGCAGTGGACAGGCCAAATTCTTCTCCCCATTCCTTTGGGGCTCCTGGGGTGGATCCGAGGGCTGCTGATGGGTTAGCTCTCCACCTGCACTCAATGGCTCATGGGGGCAAAAAATGCTAGAAATTCCTCTTTGGCCATTTTTGGACCCAATTTCACCTTGCAAGAAATTAAATTTTGGTTTGTGTGCTCTGGGACCCCCAGGTTTTGGACTTCTGCCAGTAGCCCTCACAGGTGTCCATGCCCCTCTGTCTACTGCTGCCGTGGTAGGTGCTGACCTCTCAAGGTTGCATCGCTCTGGTGATGGCTGAGCATCGTTGTGACGGGCAGCACCAGAAGAGCAGCAGGCGCAGCACGGCCAGCATTAACGCTCTCCTGTAATTCAGATTTGAGTGATGAAACTGAAGAATGCAGAGCAGCTGGGAGCGGGTCTCAGAGTGCTGATAGTGGGCAAGCTGGGGAGTATCACATTTCTCTCCTGGGAATGGGCATTTTCCCTCCTAGAGTTAAGTCTTTTGTTTTGTTTCTGTCTTCTGCTCTTAGTTTTGCTCCTTTCCCCATAGCTGACAATGGGAAATAAATCAAATTTGTCTCTTCTTGCTTGCTGTTTCCCAGGGAGGAGGAGAGGAGGAACACCTCAGCCCGTTTTCCCGTGACTCCCAGCCTTGCTCACTCATCTTGAAAGCGATGTGCTCCCTTGCCGTGGCAGCTCGCCCGCCCCACGCCCGGCTCAGCATCGCTACACAGTTCCCGAGGTCTGGATATTACCATCCATCACAGCAGCTCTGGTTCCAGCGCTTGCTAAACGTCTGAATTTCCTGCTGGCTCAATGAACAGTTTTCAGCTTGTGGTACATTATATAGCTACCGGGTGAATGGGACTGAGCGTTCCCGTTTGGCTCCGAGTGCCTGTTCACCTGAGCTCGCTGGCAGGATGAATAGTTCACCGCGGTTCTAGTGCTAACCCCCTTTGTGAACTAGCAGTGAGCCATGTACCTTATTACAAAGGCCGACAGCTCCCTGGAAACTTAAATCCACTCTTTCTCCTTTCCCTACCATAGGGAGCTATAAAAGAAAAGGACTTGGTTGGTAGGCATGTAATATAACAAAAAAACCTCTGTTGTGGCAAGATCCAGACTCCCCAGTAACAATGAGGATTATGCTCTCGCATGGAAAATGCAGTTGCTAGTTTTAACTGCGGTACCTTATTACAGATTCCTACAGTGTACATTTATGTCAGGGGCTCGGATGTTTAACTTAAGTCAAGTCCGGGTAGAAAGGAGAGCTCAGCATCTTCCATATTTTTTGATACAGGGGGAAAAGATGCAGCTCGGTCTGCTGGTTTGATGCTACCTTCCCCCAAACCGCTTCTCAGAGTTTTAAATAGCCTGACACTGGCACTGGGCAGGAGCTGGCAGAAGAATAGATTTTTTTCATCTAATGGCTCGCCAAGGTTGTTTTCAAGAAAGAGAAGTAGGAGAAGAAGAAGAAAAAACCAAAACCAAAAAAAACCCCACCCCACCAAAAACCAAAAAAACAAACCCTTTTGCATGCCAGTCATTCATTGCCTGCCAGTTCCCATGGTTCTCCTATGGATGGTAGCCACATAACTAAACACTGAGGAAAGTGCAAAGAAACTCATGAAGCGGAGAACAGTGAAGGAAAAAATGTTGGCTATGGGATACGTGGTAGTAAGAGTCACTTAGGGATCATGCTAGGATGTACCACGAATGCCTACCTCAGTTCCAGCAGCAGCTGGAGCAGCATGCTGGAGGGAGGACCTAATTTCTGCTGAACGGGGCAACCAAGGGATGATAGAGCAGCGCCCATTGTGGGGGTAGTGCGGAGGCAGTAACACTTTTCTGGGGTGTCAGATGTGGAAACGAAGGGTGTCTACCAAATGTCATTCAGTTGCACTTGGGGAAAGTACGTATAGTCCTTCGCATGTGCTGGTAGTCCCAGGGGACTTGTGCCATCACATTGCTATCTTCTTTTCTGCTCTTTCCGCCTCTGGAGTGGAGTAAGTGTCTTAAAATTTTTTTTTATATTTTTTTTTATTATTAATTTTTCTTTGTTTGTTTCATAAGTCAGGGAAGGAACAGAAAAGAGAGGAGGTGAAGTGTTATAGTTTCCCTCCTACATACCTGATGCACTGACATGAAATCTTTTTTATTACCTCCAGGGTAAGGGAGCCGTAGGTAGAGATGCTCTTTTACGAGGCCGTTTGTTGCAAGGGAGATATGCATTGTAACATATTTAGCCTCTGTGGGACAAAGGAGGTGGTGTACCAGAGGAAACATGTTTATCTAATTCAGAACAAACTTTTTATAGAGAGAGAGGGGTTATCACTATGGATTTCTCTGATACAGTTAAGCGCAGGAAAAGTGCTCATATGGGTCAAAAACTTCCCTCCCTGAGAGTGGTACAGTGTGCTTTCCATATCGGTTCCCCTTTAATATTTTCTTTAGCAAAAATGTCTTTGACAAGTTGACTGAAACCACACAGACTTGTTTGTTGTTTACATTATGAATTACACAAATAAAACCATACCGGACTGGATCTGAGGATATTTTTTTGCTGACTCTAGGACAGCATACCCTGATTAAAAGATAACGTGAGGTCTCACTGCCCTGGGACAACGCTGGGACGGCTCATTTCTCTCTTGAGCTCCTTGTGCCTGAGGTTGGTACCTAAGGAAGACACCTGGCTCCTTGCCATTGTCATGCCTTTTGTTATTCTAGTTACTCTCCCTGGTGCCATGTGAAGCTTCTCCCCTTCCTTTCTTTGCATGACAGGTTGTCCCCTGATTTTGCACCCTTGTGTAAAATGAAAATTTAAAATAATGAGATATTTATGGGATCAAATTATGTTCTTATGTATTTAGTTAGGAAAAAAACAAACCAAACAAACAAAAATCAACTCAAAATCAAACCACTCATTCCCTGAAGGAAGAGAAAGGTGCTGCTGGAGAAGACAACTCTGAAGACGAGCAATAGGAGCCTTTAAGGTGGCTGGAAGTATTGACTCTTGTGAAGATTAGAGGAGCTGAAAGCTGTAGTGAAATGTTACACTTGCCTACAACCACAGAAAGTCTTTGTACTTGAGCAGAGCAGCTTTACAAGCAACGTGTAAAAGATGGTGATAATCATCTGCATGTATCTGAGGACGGCGAGGATTGTGGTGTTCCCCAGGAAGGTGAGACCCTTGGTGCTGAGCGATACTGGTCTGTGCGGTCAGAAGGTGGATGCTGGGACGGCCGAGGGTCCACTCGGGATTGCTCGGCATGTGCTCTGTGTTGGTGTAAATAGAGGAGGGTCCCAGGGAGATTGCGATTGTCTCACCAGCTCCCTCACCAGCTTCCAGACCCCTCTCTCGTACAGCTGCAGCCATGATTCATCTCTGTTCCCATGCTCTTCTCGCCAGTGAGAGTGCAGCAGGCACCTGGTGTGCTAAATAATCCTCAAGCAGTAGGCTCAGAGATCATTAACTCTTCGGTCTCTGTATTAGGGTATTTTAAAAGCACATGCCTAGCAGTGGGATAGGATCCTGCAGGGAAGCAGTGGAAGTCCTGTTTCTTATTGAAGTGGTTTAATGGAGGAGCATCATGTTGCAGATCTAATGTATGGGGCAGCCTATTTCAGAGAAATGGAAGGGGAAAAAAAACAGAAAAAAACAACCAAAACTGTCTTGACTGCGTATGGGTCTCCTCAGCACACCTGTAAGTCATGTTGGAAAGGACAGATGGGAAATAGAGATATGAAAGGCTGAAAGCCTCTTAGTCTCCATCTCAGCTGCAGCAAGGAGCATTGCAGTGTCAGGGGAGTGTCTGAGGGAGGTCAGGCTGACTGCTGATAAGCAAAAGGAGGCTGAGGGCTCCCCTTGAATCTCTAAAACCAGAGATTAGTGCCAGCCTGGTTGCTCCTTGGGATGCTTCATCAAAGGGCTGGAATGGGGAGTGGAACAGCCGAGGAGACAAGGAGCCCTGTCCTCTGTGCTCATCTTAGCACCTCTGCAACTCCTCGCTCCATCACAAGGTTTCCAATAGCTTAAGAGTCTCTTGCCCTTTCTGCACTCACGTCACGGAATGATATGGCCTTGTACCACTAAAACACATTACGCAAGGGGAAGAAGAGTTGGCAATGGTTCTCCTACAGACCTTTCACTGAGTCTTTATGCTTCAGCAACCAAGGGAGTGGGAGGAACGCACCTGAGGTGAACCTGTCCCCCTGTGACTCCATGCTTGTGCAGCAGGTTGTGCATCATCCCTGCAATGAGGAGCTTCCTTTACTCTCTTGATCATTCATGGAGGAATTTGCAACAGGGCCTGCCGCTTGAAGAAAATTTCCTATCCAGCAAGGGTAAATGCTTCATGTGTCTAAGGGGACAGGCCTAGTGTCTACAATTCATATTAAAAAAAAAAAAAAAAAAAGTAAA